CTGCTGAACTCTGACGCTGGCCAAGGGCAGCCAGCAGACCCAAACCTCCTGGCCACCTCCCATGCAAACACATTTGCAGCCCTGCCCACCTTTCAGCAGCGTTTTAGACACTGCACTGCAAGACACCTGTTTTTTGTGCTGTTAGTCGCTAGCTTTTATTTGTAGCAGATCTCCCTCGGTTGCTGGCTTCACACATTATACAGCGTGCCACTTTTAGACCTAGCAGTCCCCTCTACCTTCCAATTTCCCATTGTGGTATCTTCCAGTGGCACAGAGTAACACTAGTGCCAATTCCACAGCCCTACCAACTCCAGTCTCTCTAGTCCCACTGCTGGCGCAGGGATCCCTGATAGGGGGAAAGGAAAAAAAATTTAAAAAAAAGAAAAAAAGGAAAAAAAAAAAGAGAGAGAACAAGTGCACAGACAACTTCACATGTTGGCAATCCCCAGCTGCCACCAGTCAGGGTGTGCCTGTAAGTTGTGTATCAGGCAGATAAGCATGCATAGTTTTCAAAGGAATCACAGTAGAGCTGCTTAACATCTAAATCAGATAAGCAAACCAAAATAACAAAGCAAAACAAGAAAAGCATTAGGCTAATTTGATGCAGGTGCCTAAAGCTGAGCACCAGTTCAGATGTGAATAGTAGTTCCAGTCACTAGGATGAAAACACAGAAGCTATCATTGCTAATAAGCATACATACATTTTCACCCCGTTCCAAGAGCCACATTCTGCCTTATTTTAATTTTGTATTCACTAAGCACCGGGAAAATCACTTCTCAGTATGTGGGGTGGGGGTGGGAGAGGAAGAAAGAGACCATTTCCTCCTCACTGAATACAGAATTCAGTAGAGTCAAGACTTCAGCCTCAGGACTTTGCAGCTGTTCCACTGATCCCTACCCGGCTCCGACTTACGAAGCAAACCTGTAATCAGCCACGCAAACAGCAAGAGGCAGACAAAGATGTTTTCCCGTCCCAGAGGAGAAGCGTCCCTTTCCGTCTTCATGAATTCCCCACCCCACGCCTCAGCAATAGGATGGGGAACCATCGTACCGATGGTGGGGGGAAGAGGGCTGCTGTACAAGTTCATTGAACGCACACCTATAAACTCAGCATAACCCTGGTTATCGTTCATTCGGTAGAAGCCCTGGAGCACATTCTGCTCATGACTTGCAAAAGAAGTGAATCAATGGGAAGAGTTTGCACAGGTTCATTAAAGAAGCAGCCTCTTACCAGCCTCAACAAACTTAGGTCAAGGGTACAGAAGTATTGACAAATAAAACTCCCACTGATGCTCATAAGAAAAGTTAGCATTTCCTGCCCAGAAGTACACTGAAATAAAACAAAACTGAAGTTTACCTTCTCTTGAGCTGACTTTACAACACTAACAACTTGTTTAACTGCTAGCTCAAGTGGTTCTGGTGGGTCATCTTCCTCAAACGTAAGCAACTGTGAATCCTAAGAAAGAAAAAAGAAGCAGCATTGTTAGGTGACAAACCCATCGCTTGAAAACAAGTGATAAAAATGCACTGTCGGCGAAGTTCCTGGAAGAACCGGAGACAGAATTGCAAATGTATGTCAAAACTTGTACGTATTAATTGCACGACACCTCACTATGTAATACAGGGTAGAGCCTGAAAACCTGTACTTAGGAGATAACTATGGGCCTAATCATAACTCATCTTTCTCCGTAGCAGAATATCAAGGTACGCAGCACAGTGCAGAGCGAAGCCCATGAGCAGCAGCAGAGTTCAGTTAAACTGCTCTTCTTGAGTAAGGGTTAATCAGTGCTGTAGTTTCAAAGGGCGTTTTTGGTTTTGCCTAATAATACAGCTGCACGAGGCTATGCCAAAACTAAGAAAACCCAAATATCATCTTGCGGAGGTGAGGAAAGAAGCCTTCCCCTCCGCAATCCTTCCTCGTGTGTGATGGCAGGCGGTGATGACAGCTACTCAGTCTTCACATAGACAGCAAGGAAAAGACAGCGTATACCTGTTTCGGCAGTGAGGTCATACTTTCAGAGACATCAGCACTTGCATTCTCCACCTGCTACCCACACTGAGCAGTCAGCACCGCTTCCCTCATCACCAGAGGTTGTTTTGCATGCAGGAATTTCATTAGCAGTGCGCCGCTGACATTGTTTTGGGAGGCTGACAGCGGGAGCCACGCCACGCTGCAGTGCCAGGCAGTGAACTCATCGCAAGAGACGGCTCCAGCTGCTCTCCCGGGCAGGGAGGGTGTGCGTGCCCCTGTCAAAGTGGCTTTAGTCTCTGGCCGGAGACAGGAAGCTGCCTCTTGTTTCTAGTTACTTTCAGTTTCTAGCACCTATGCCCAAGCTGTCTGGGCTCTCCTCTTCCACAAGCGCAAGGCAAACCTTCGTTTCTCAGCACAACCCATGCTCTTCTGAACCACACCGTGCAATTTGAGAGGGCAGACAAAGTATTTTCTTTCCACTGCCCTAACTTACGGTGATGTCTGGAAAGTGTTAAACTGCTGTCCTTATCTTTCACACACATGCGTTGCTCCGCTTTTCCTTCTCCCCCAGCCTGCTCCCTGGCATGTAAGAAGAAAGCACGCTGCAGCCGCCGGGAGATGAACCTCCTAGGCCTAGGGAGAGGGCTTCACACGCATTCGGAGACCTGGGTACATGCCGCTTCCTAGATAGTTTAGCCTCAGCATTTTCCACTGACACGGCAAGGGTTCAGTTCACAGGACCAGGGAATTAGGTTGCCAGGGCCTCACCTAAGCTCCTCACCTCTTAGACCCAGGCATACCATTACAAACCACCAAGCAGGATGACACGCTGCGCCCTTTGCAAGAAAGGCAGGATAGGATGAGAAGGGATGCCACGTTTTGTGCATTTATCTGACCCGGCTTAAAAGCAAAGTAATGAAAAACTGAGAAGCCCACCATCCCGTGGCGGTCTGGAGAAAGCTAGCCCTCAGCATTACGCTGACACACACAGGGGTTCAGCACGGCCTAAGACAACGCGAAGAAAGCCCGGCTCCGGGAGGTATTTGCCGAAGGACTGGCCGCAGGCCCCATGCCGGCGCCCAGGGCAGGAAGTTTCCATTGTTGCCTCCTCCTCCCCACGCCCGAACACACACACACACACACACACACACACACACACACACACACACAGAGGAATACACAGTAGACACGGCACTCACA